ATGTCAAGGCAGCACCTGAAGAGCAAGGTTCCCCTTCTGGCTTGTCTGTGTGCCACAGGGCTGTCTTTGTCACTGCTGCTCGCAATGGTGCTTCTTACCTATGCAATCTGAGCCTGAAAACCATAATTTGAGACCAAAATTTTCTGCAGGGGCCCTTTTTCAAATAACCTCAGACTGACAAAAGCAAGCTCCTTAAAGATGCAGCAAAATCACTTCATCAGCTTCATGCATTTTATTTTAAAGGACTATTAAGAGCCCATTCTTTCTGATAGAATTCTATTTTCATCTCCACTTTTTTTTTTCCTTTGGGAGCTTGGAAAATAAGATTTCTCTATCTCTGCCCTTTTTTTTCCCTGTCTGTTTCTATTTGATCAATGATGATTCTTTTTTCCTGTGCTTCTAAGACTTGACATTAAAATGTCTAGTTCCTATTTTCTTTCTGTTGTATTTGTGCATCGGAGCCATTCACAATGATGTCAGCGCAGTTCTGGGCATTGTCTCTGCTAGTTCAATTCCAGCTGAATTGCTGGAGCTAGCAGGACATTAGCATTCACTTGATTGATTTAGCATACCCAGAGAATAAGATGGGTTTTGCATTCAGCTACACATATTAAAAACTGAAGAAATTATAAAGCAGTCCAAAGTTGGTAAGTTCTTTTGGAGTCACACATCTTTTGCTTCTCAGTGTATCTTCCTGTGCTTGAGGGCAACATTTAAATAATGGCTAGTGCAATGCCAAGCCCTTCCTTGACAGTGCTCATGGATGAAAGAGGAAAGTGATTTAAAACTATTGTTTAACATAGTTAATCAATGTAAGAGATTTCAAGGCTAAAAGATTTTATCATGCACTATGTCCTATATAATGTGGGCTATACAATTTCATCCTGTAATTCCAGCATTTTGTCCAACAACTGGAGAGAACTTTTTCAGGGTAAATACTTCAACCTGAGTTTTTAAATTAGTATTAAAAATATAATAGTTTCTCTTGTTGGCTTTAAAACTTTCTTCCTTTGTCCAGTTCCTACCCCTGTGATAAGGTCTTAGTGTCGCATGTGGCTGTGCATACCTGCTCAAGATGCACACAACCTATGAAAAGTCCATGCCTTTCTAGATTCCAGATTTTGTGTGTGAAACTAAAGTGAAGAAGAGAATGCAGGGCAACATTTTCAGAAGAGCGGGCTAAAGTTTGGCTCCAGAATCCATCCTCCTCCAAAAGAAATGCTGAGCTGAGCAGCACCCTGTGACGTGAATGAAGAAATCTGGCTTTACCTACCTGCGAACTAGAATCTCCACCTCACTATTTTATGACTTTAGAACAGGAATTCCCAAACCTTTTCCAACAATAGGATTGAAGACCTCAGCGGACACGTTTGTTCAATTATGCACTTTATGGGCTGAATGAAACAATGGAAGTATTAGGCATGTAACAGAACAGTAATAGCTGGCCTCTTCATAAAAGCCCTTTTCCTGCACTGTCTCTGTTGGCTTTGATGGGAGTTCAGCTACTCAAGATGAGAGTTTGTACCTTTCAGACCATAACCACACTTGACCCCTTCTTCTGATGCAGTCAGATGGACAAGTAGAACTTGTGTGATTTCCAGTAGCTTCAGCATATATGGGTGATGTGACGACAAAGTCAGCTGTCCCAGTTCAGAGGTATGCCTTTGCATTTCTCATCATTTCAACGATATCTTCTGATCAGGGGTTCTTTCTATATGACCAAGAGCATAACTGGTGTTTTAACTGCCCAGAAACATCTGCAATAGCTCACCTCAAGCTTCGGTTACCATTCTGAATGTTACTGCACTGCTCTAGCTCAGTCTCTCTGCTGCACACTTAGAGAGTGCAGCACGCTTACAGAGACAGATGAGTCTGTTTCCAAGAGAGTGGACAGTCATTTGTGATCATTATCAAGCAGACACTATAAAAGATGACAACTCACGTGTCAGCTGAAACATTTCGCATTAATTAGAGCAAAGTTCCTATCAAATATGTTTTGATAATAGCCAATCTCTCACGGACACTTTAGACCACACAATGAGAACATCATGTTTGATGTCTTTCCTTGGAGGGAAGAAAGAGCATCAGAAGGCAAATGCAGCTGCAGCTGCAGCCAGCAAGGAAAGACAAGCAGAGCACGGCAGGGGATCAGCTGTCTGTCAAGACAAGCAACGAGCCGTGGAGCTCTGCAGCTCTGTCAGCAGTTTAGATCCTGGCACAAGTCTGTAGGTTTCAAAAGCTGCTATCATTTGAGGGTGTGGTAGAAATACTACAAATGGTCAGTAGCGAGTAAGGGGTGAAGCTGCAGCTAAAGAACGTCTCAGTGGACAGCAAGTCAGTACTCAAAGCTGAAATCCAGCCAATATTCTGTGTGCATACATGACGACGTGTTTTAATACCAAACTAATGCACAGCCATTTGCGGTGATCTTAGAGGAGCCAGCTCTTCTGGTTCATTCCTACCGCGTGACTCAGCATCTCCCTTGGCTTTCCTCACTTAACTTCCGTCTCAAGGCTGGCCCTTCCTTGCTTACGAGATCTGACTGGTTCCCAGCCCATGGTGGAATGACTTCAAACACTTACCTCCTGCAGTTCTTAAAAACAGTTTCTTGTAGTAATTTGAGATGGATAGCTTATAGGAGTACATGTGTGTCTAAATGAGCTTTAATATAGCTCCAGACTACTTGACAATGGCTGTTGTGAGATCTTATGCATTATGTGCCGTTTTAGTCTTTTTAGTCCAAGCAACAATTTCAAGCAACACAGAAGCCAGAAGAGCCTCTTCAGGTTTATAACATGCTTTACATGCTGCTTAAACTTTCTCTTCACTGATTTGCTGCTGGATAAAAGGCACGTTGAAAATATATTAAAGTGACAGTCAAGATCTGTAGCTACATTAGTCATTCTGTCAGAGCCTTGGAAAGAACCTCACTGAAGTCAAGCAGGAAAACAATTTGTTGAAGCATCAGCTGAAGCAGTGAGTCGCAACTCATTCAAATCTCTCTAAAGTACATGATCAAGCAACTGCTGAAGCCCTGAAAGTCACAACTGATTCTGCAAATAGGAGATATGTAACACAAACTTTAAACTGACCTCCGATCTCTGGTACATGGTAACAACCTGAGGGTCCACGTATTTATACCTTAAAAGCAGCAGGTGGGAAAAGACAGAATGAGTGATGTTCCCTTAGTGTGGTAACAGAAGTACCCGAACATACAAACTGACAATATTTTCCTATCACAGTGTGTAATTAGGGTTTAGTTCCACTGAAAGGAGCCATTCTGGACATACACAGCTCCAATCAAAATCATTATTTTGTAACATTTTTACCTGAACCACAGGCAATGGTTCCCCAGGCCCAGAAGAGTCAAACAATTGATGTTCTTACAGATCTTTTTGCCAAAGATAACATCGTTAAGCTTTGATGTCGACAGTACAGCCACAAGCCTAAAAAAAAAAAAAACAAAACAACTTACCTGAATAACAGGCATCTGGGGAACCCAGCCAGATCCCAAAGAATCCAGAGCAGCTCAGCTATAAATTGACTTAAATAAAATCCACTAAGTTCAGCCAACCAGAGCATACCTTACAATATGGGGAAAACCTATACAGCACTTTATCCTAACCACTATGTTGGCCTAAGGGTGTACCTAAGGGTACGCTACAATCAGCTAATAAAGAGATAAAACGTGTAAAACCTTTTTTTTTTTTTTTCCAGGACACTGGTGGAAAAAGGGAGCAAACTACTGTCTAGTGATGCTCCTTCAAATCAGATGTCAATTCTAAGCTCTTGAGAGATGATGTGTGATTCCGACATACTTCTTTCAATCTGGAGCTCAGGAATAATTATTGCTAGAGGAAAGAAAAAGTTATGTTAGTAGAAAAATGTTTTGGCTTTACTCTTTAAATATTAACTAATCTTGCGTGTGTGTTGCACTCTATGCCAGGGGAAAGGAAAACAAGTGAAATGTACTATGCTTCCCACACAGTGTATTGTATTGGTTTGGAAGTTGAGGGCAGTATATCCAATTGGCCTCAGCAGATTTGACCCTGGATACGGTTTAAGGCCGGTTCTGCCTTTCTTTCGCCATCCTGTCCCCATTCCTACACCTTCCAATTTAAAAGCAGCGCGTTTCTGCTAGAAACTTAAGCTGCTTTCCTCGCTGGTCACACAGACACGTTCACAGAGATTCAGATGAACACAGTGAAGACGACGCTAACCGGCCTCCGCAGGCGTTGCAGCGCAGCGGGGCACCGGCACCCCCACCGCAGCGGCCCGCGCTTTTTCTCCACAGCCCGGGCTCGGAGGCGCCCGCCCCGGCTCCGCGCTGCCCGCGGGCCGCTTCCCCGCAAGATGGCGGGGCTGCCCCGCCCGGGCGCCCGGGCAACCCCCCCCCGCGGGGG